TTTACTTGCAGTATTGAGGTCATCTATGAATTTCACTAGTGCAAGGGCATTACCAAGTTAAAATTCTAAGTTTAGTTTATGAACATTTCAACACTCATTACATTTTCTGAAAAGTGCCATGATCTTACCTAGATTCTGCAATTTCATTGTTAAAATCATAGTATGACTGGATGCTGTTTTTTTTTTTTGGCTGGTCAACGGCATGAAATATTGAAATAATAAATTATTTTTAACATTTCATCAAGATCGCAGCATTTTTTTTAGATACCTTAATACTTCTACAGGTGATTTGCAAAAGCTTACTGTGATCCATTGAGTGTGTGCCATTGCACTAGATTGAATTATTAAGTCCCTCATATCACCCTCAGATGTAGACATGCATAAAAATATACGGCAGTATCAATTAAATATGAAATATTCGGAAAATATATCAATAAAATCGTGAAGAAGACATTGCTGAATCCAAGTTAATGGCCTATAAATTATATCTGTAAATAATATTTTATTTAACTACAGAATACACATTTCGTTGATAAAATATTACTCGATTTGCCTCTCACTGCATACAAACTGCGTCACGTTTTACGAAATGTCACATCGACAAATGCATTGCCATTGGTGATGTGTTATGTGGAAGTTATCTAACGATAAAACAGCATACTGTAGAAAGTTTAGGTGTAGTTTGATCGTTTCCTACAAGTTTAAATAGCTAATCAGCTCCTTTTGTGGTATTTTAAAGTATTCTGGGTTTTGTATGATATCATAGTTACATAGTTAAGTTTCCCCGCACAAATTAGGCTCCACCCCCTTTGTACCCTTAACTATATGCTGCGTAATTAGTTAAACACCCATACAGTGGCTGCAACGTTATTGTTAACGGCTTATACGCACGATCACGTTACCCGAACGATTCCGCACGATTAACGCACGATAAAACCTGTTACACGAACGATCCTTCATGCACACGATTCTACGTTACACGATCTTAAACGATTACTAACGCAAACGCCCGATTCTTCACGCAAAATGGTTCAAAATATTTAAGAATGAATATTTTCAAAACGAAAAAAGATTTAATACCTTAATATAAGGATCAAATAATTATTTTTATTATTTCGTTGACTGAAAAAATACTTAAAAAATGAATGGGTGTTTCTGGAAGTACATACGTACCTATGTATGACCTATCAATTATTTTAAATTAAAAAGATTTATTTACCTATGTATTCTTATCAATAATTTTAGATTAAAAAGAATTTTTTATGTAAATCTCCGACTTAAGAAGACCGAATTTGCTTCTACTTTTCGAAGATTTACATGTAAGTTGACCGTGAATTTTGTTTGATTGAATTTGATTTCTTTATGCGCAGTAAGGGGGATAAGATTGAAAAAATGGTATTAATACCATTTCTACCTAAATATCAAAATGACGTGGCCACGCGATGTCTTGGATTCAGCTAATTTTTTTTCTCACTGAAACTTCAATGAATGAAAAGAACTATATGACTAATGACCAGAGCAGAGGACACACAGCCCCCCCCCCCCAAAAAAAAAAATCAGTGGACAGGAAGTAATTTTTACATGAAAAATAGAAAGTACGAAAAAGAACAGAAAAGTTGTCACTGGTGCAAGGTGGATATAGAGAGGGTTTTCTAAAGATCATTACTAAAATCCACAGCAAATTGCAAGGCTGAGCTACTTTTCAAACTAACACAAAAGGACATAAAGAAATGTGAATTCGAGGAGACAAAGCTGACATCAAATGAGAGAATATGAAGGTACAAATTTTAGAAGAATTTTTTTTAAGCAGAGCATCTATTTTCCTTAGATAATATGTGTATTCTAAATTGATTATAAATTGATTTCTTGTATTTTCAAAAATGTCACTGTTTAAGTGGAGCATACATTCCAATGTCATGTTTATTTCTTTTCTATAAAGGCAGTATTATGAAAAGAAGCAGTTTCTTCCCTTTTTATATCCCCACTCTGCAGGAGAGCTGGTATACTGATTTATTATATACCCCCACATGGGCTCACAAATCTATAGTTTTATACTGGCAGACTTCACACAGTATGTCATGTATGATTAGAATATGAATACATTTTAACAAAACTGCGAACAAGATTAATTGTGAAACACTGATTCCCCCTTACATGACAGCTTATGCCACGACTCCCACGAGGTATCCCAAGAAAGATCTTGTCACAAGGAAAACACCTGTGAAATATGAAATTCTAGTCCAACTTCAAAAGTTGTGGTTAAGGGTAAAGTTTAAAGGCTGAATATGCTGATATGCAATGTGATAATAAGAATTAATTCCACAATATTTAGCACATAAGGACATTTAAAAATGCCAATTATCCTTCATTTTCACTTTCAATGAATTAAGAGATGATGGTTTGTTGATCGAACAAATCGACATACAACAATAGCACTGTCTCTCTGGCACCTCCCCCCCCCCACACCTCCCTAAGGTCATAGAGTGCCGATAAATTAAATTTATGTCAGAATACCTTAAGGAAAATATGACCATAACTAGAGCACGCAAATATGACAAATTGGAAGACTTTGAGGGTTACATGTACAAATAAAATTCAAATCTTGACTTTCAGCGAATTCATGGACATAGGCCGAGATTCTGTCTACTTCTTTTACCTGGTCTTCTCTTCTAAGTTATATAGAAGCACAAAAAGCAAATCAAAGTCAAAGAAGTTTAAAGCTCTGCTACCTGCTTTTGAGCCTCCGAAGCCAAAAACTAACAGCATTATCGAGAAACTAACAAACAGATCCTGCTGCATCATTATCCCCATCCATTGAAGCTGTTGCAACAATTAAACTTGGGTAAGAAAACGCCTCTCAACAAAATTATCCTGCAGAAATAGTTTAACCTCCAAAACTTTTAAAACAAGTTCAAGAACAGTCCAGTGCAGCAGTTTCGGCCACCTACACATGCACTTTCCAAAAATATATCGATACAGTTACTTAAGAGTGTTCAATCCAAACCAAGACTAGGACTTATTAATTTCTAGGTTTCAAACCAATGACATCATAAACGCCTGCTCCAACCACTCCGGCTCCTCCAGCTCCCGTACAGCAGAGCTTATTTAACTTTTTAGTGGACAAAATGGTCCTTCTTCAACCCCACAAGCACTTCCATTTCCTCTTCCATCCGTGCCGCCATACCCAGGATTGCCAAACAATAACCCAAAACTGAAAAATGTGTACCGAATGATTGCAACGTGGCTAGTTTCCGACGCCATGAATGCAAATAATAATCATGATCCTCCCGCACCTCAACCGGTTACAACAAAAAAAGAACTCATCCATCTTCGTCTTCCAAATACTAATAGACAACAACAAAAACAACAAAGACGTCACAATTTGACACCCTACCTCAACGCAATAAAAACAAATGAAAGCATCCCAGCACTCTCAGGGGAACAAGAAACGAGAAGAGGCTTTATGCCGAATGAGGGAGAAAGCCAATAGGGAGTACATGGATGAAGTATTTGACGTCGACGTCCCAGACACGACTTTTGCTAATGGCCGTATTCCATCATTTCAGGCACCTTCGTTTGAATTCCTACGGTAATCCGAGAACCATATTTTGTGAGTAAGTTATCATTAATAACAACACCAATTTGACTCCTTTTATGCTAACTCAATCCTCTAGGTGCATTTAAAATAAAAAAAAATGATACGAACGATAATTGGTCAGAAATGCTTTAAATATTTTTTTTAATTTTAGATATATCGTGTAATTCCAATTGAATGGAGAATCCAGAACTGAAACAACCTTTAATTATTTATTTTCTCGGATTTACTTCATTACAAGAAACAAAACGTGTTTTGACCCTCGTTTTCTGTAAGTGAAAAGTACTACGTGCGTCTTGAAAAGGCTGAGGAAGTTTGCATACAAAACTACATCCATTGTAGCAAAACGAAGGATTTTTATCACATAAATATTGTTATCTCGATGTAAACAATCAACGGACTTACGTTCAAAAAGCTATGTATGAAAAATACTTTATACTGTTAATTTGACACCTTATTGCATATACTATGTGTGCAAAAAAGCATAGAGTGATGAATACGAAAAATTTTAATGACATTAATTAAAATATCCTAATTAAATTATACCTTAATGAGGTCGTAAACTAGATAATATCGTACATCAAAAATGTGGTTGGTATTCATTATAAACGTAATGTAGCAGCTCTTTATGTATTTCATATATAAATAAATACTATAACCATTTTCTGGAGTAATTATTTATTTTAACATAGTATTCTCAAAGCCAGAAAGCGACAGTACGGGAAAACATCCGTTGTTAATGTGTTATGACACCAGGTTGAAATATTTATAATTTTTTTTTGCTTTCTTTTCAGGCCGAATTTGCTGTGAATTAAAAAAAATTTAAAATGATTGATATTGCTCCGAATTTGCTTCTTTTTTGGGGGTGGGGGGTGGGGGGGTATATTTCAGTTATCGAGAGCACTGACCTAGATTTGGGAGAGAAAGTCATGTGATGTTCTGGCTTAAAGATAATAAACTTCAACAATATGTGTACAAAGCTAAGATACTCCGTGTCAAACTATACGATATATTTTTTTTTTTACAAATTAATATGTAATTTATCAAGAAAATAAATTGGTTAACAGCTATTTTACGTCTTAAAATACACCTTGATTTATAAAAGTTTTTTTTCTTAGTTAAATGACGAATTCATGTTTTTATTTTCTGACCATTTCCTGATTGCTTTTAAAAAGATTGTAAATTTAGAAATGTCCTAATATATCATTTATTTCATATTATTACTAAAATAAAGGTTAGAACATCAAAATTATTTTTTTAAAATACTAAAAGACCTATAGAAGTACGTTCCATGCATAACTGGAATGTAAGAACATCCATGCGAATTGGGTTTTTTTACAACTCTGTCTGTATGTTAATTTATGAATATAATAAACGGCCATTATCCATTTCAATTCTACCAGTTCTATTCAAATTCTACTTGATAAACGACTCCATTCATTTTCTCTGCATATACTTTGTCCAATGTTTCATTCATTGCTACAGTGAAGTGATTCTTCCAGTCTCCTATCTTTCCTGAAAATCAAAGGTATATCTTTATTTTAAAAATCTAAAAATTTGGTGTTTCTTGAACTTCTTAGGGATTTGTTTGTTTGTTTGATTTTATTTTGCAGGAGTTCATAACAAAATTTCGATTATAAAAGCATTTTAAAAAGCCTTAAAATGTTTTTGAGATGAAGGAAAAATTGATTTGGAACAGAAACTGTTTCGCCTAGTTAGATGTATTTAACCAGAATGTAAATCCTTTTTCGAAACAAACATGATGTATGCATTATAAAAGCAGTTAGTCAATGGTTATATTTATTCTCAATTCAACAGGAGCATCATGGCGGGTGTTACCGGTCGGCAGAGAATGCTCTCTTTCTCCATTGTTTTGTAAATAGTTTTAACAATACTTCATTTTACTTTCATTATTTTTTGCTTTCAAAACCACGTAAGTCGTATAAAAGAAGAGTCATTTATGTTTAAAAAAAGAACAACAAAGAGACCTTTTCTGTAGACTGTAGGAGTTTCTTTCACCTGGAGTTCATTCATTAATTCCGCCATCTTTTGATCCTCCCTGACACTTTTGTCCGCTTGCTGAAGATTTTGAAAGGTGCACTTCTCTGTTATCTCTTTGACTAGTCCGTTTTCATCTTTAACTCCCAAAAAGTCAGCCAATCTCCGAATCTCTGCTTCTGTGTTCTTTGAAGTATACAAGCAACACAGCATAGACATTAATATGAGGAGATATCAACATCACGAAATTAGAATGCCCTTGGAAAAGATCATAAAACAATTGAATGTTATATAGAACTGCTGCTTTTACATTGTGTTTTAAACGAACAACTCTCATTTCTCATTTAAATTGTTTCAAAACTTTAACTTATAAACTTAATCTAAGTTTCAAGGAAATAAGGCTGTGAACAAGTTTTACCATGGCATAAAATATAAGATTATTTACGGAACACAAATATTTCATATCAATTCATCACATATTTTCATCACAGGAGACATCTCTTTCTCTTTGGAGATACACTGTAAATTGTTTCTCTCTGTTCTACTGGAACGTCTCTCTAAGACAAAGAGATTTACATTCCATTGGGGGTATTTTACTTAAAAATTGATTGCAAATTAACAGAATCAAAAGGTCAAAATATGAATTTTAAATTTGATATATTGACACGACAAACGTGGAATACTGTGAAAGTACAACATCAAATTTAATTCAATTCACATTTTCAAATTGAAAAGTCTCGTGAAGATATTGCGTTGGCTCTTCCATTAATTAGCTAACCCAAAGAATTCAGCAAAGATTTGCAGACAAATCAGGTAGTCAAGAATACAAACATAATTTGTAGTATCACAATTACAATAACGTATGCAAACAAACTGAGTAACGGACGTTATGAAAATTCATTTCTTAAATATCTGTTATCCGGTGTATTCCTTCAACTTCAGAATAAACAAAAAATTTGATATTATAGTTTCCAGCTAACTATAAAGTTTCACGTTACGTCACGATCTAGTTAACAGCTGCGCTCAAGATAAATTGTACACGCCTCCTAACTGCAAGATTTACGACTGGAACTTTCTTCTTATCCCTGATAGGTTGCTCGTGCAACAGATTATTTCCGTGTCAATGTTGATAATTTGAGTTGACCAATCACGTAATTTGTTTACGCTGGACGCATCGGACGAAAAAGATCATGACGTAACGTGAAACTTTACAGTTAGCTGCAAACTATGATAAAGGGGTTCTTTGAGGAGTACAGGTAAAATAAAAATGATACAAGGTAATTAACTTAGGTAAAGATAGACACAATATAAAACATTAATACATTAATTTTTTTTATAACATATTATGAAAAAAAAAATTTTCTAAATGATTAAACAGATCTTCCTCAATACATTATTTTATATCAAATAGTATTAAGTTATTTATATCTTTTTATTGTTCGAATTACTATTGAGTAAATAGGATATGGGCAATGCAGGGGCACTGATTGACTTTAGATAAAAAATACCAAAAAGAAGGAAATTAGTGAATAGAGCATTAAACATAGATCTCGGGAATTCCAAAAGTTGGATCAAGAATCTAAAGAGGTAAGCATTCACTATTGACCGCTTACACTCGCCTACATGTCTAATTTTTTCAATGATGACATCGTAATATTGTGTTTCAAAAATAATTAATATTCTTTTTATATCCCACATACTTAATTGGTTAAAATACTTGTTCTCTTTTTTTTTTTCAAATACTTACATATGAATCATCTTTTTATTCGCGGCTACTATATTTTCGCGTTTTTGCTCAAAACAATTAAATAACGGAAATCTAATACTTGAAATGATTTTAAACATTATATGAAGCCATTTTAATATCCAGTAATCGTTAAACATTTGCCCCAAGGAATGACATTCTTACGGACTAAGATGTCAAGGAAACGTAGGCATCTACCGTTGTAAAACTTACAAAAGTCATCACAAAATGTTCAATTTTAAAGATCTTAAAAAGTATTTATCTTTATAAAAAATATCCCCTTTTTACAATTTTTCTTTTCTACTAAAGTAGTGGTTTAGTGCTAAAAATATTAATTTCTACTAATTCTGATGATTAAGATTATTAATGTCTTCCGTTTCCAACGCAATGAAAACTAAGTTAAGGTTAAGTATAGTTAATGCAAAAATAAAACTGATATTTTGGATTATTGATTTGTCCTTGTGTACCATTTTTAAACTCTAAGAGCATTTTTTACATAATATTTACTTACTCTTTGTAGTTTCTCGTATTGTATCATCAATATTTGATCTTTTCGAACAGTCGCTTCTTCGATAAACTTTTTATTATACTCAAACCATCCCCCGTACATCGCCTCTAAATAAAAAGGGAAAAAATCTTTCCAAGATTTAAATATTATGTAGGTTGAAATATTTGAAAAAAAAATTAAAAATGCCATAAAAATACTATTATTTAAAATTCTTACTTCGTCCAATATAAAGTTCGTCCAAAAAATTCTCAAAACTCATCCCAGGTAAAAATCCACAAGAAGAAAGAAATTTAAACAAAGACACAGCAACATCTTTCGAGTTACGTACAACGTATACTATTTTCCCGCCTTTATCCACATGTTGTTTTGGGAGCCATTGAAAAGGAACATGGGTGCTCATGACACCATTATAACCCTGCATCTGACTCATGTCTGATAACCCCTCTACGAAAACCTGTTCCCTAGTCACCGTAGAATACTCGGCTTTTCCCCTCAGAAGCATGCCCATTATCTCCCATACCCAGTGAGTTCCTTCAATAAACAAGTACACAAACATGAATAAGAATTTTTACAGTGACGGTAGTTTTTTAAATTAACATGTGACGAGAAAGTAGTATGGATTATGATATATGCAAAAGGTTGGAAATTCTGTAGTTAAATACAGTATAAAATTAAGGCCTAACATTTGGTATGAAACAAATCAGCCAAAATTCGACACAATTATTGATTAATTTATATTTGCTAAAAAGGTAATTATATCGACCATCAAATTTACGAAATGCCGTCTTTAAAATATGGTTGTTGAAATCCCCTCATCTCATCTGCCTCAGAGGATTTGAATTTAAAGAAAAATTAAGTGACGTCTTCTATTTACATACTCTCGATTCATATGCTTTAAATTCAGATCAAATATGATAAATATTTGGTTGTATGTTGTTCAGCTCATTTTGACATTCTATTGAGCATCTCCTTTTCTTAGTGAAATATATGGATATAACGATCAGTATTCAAGATCAAAAAACCATAAAACACACTACAAAATAGGAGCAGAGCAAACAAGAATCTCCAAAATATCAGAGGTGGGATCAGCCATGGAGATGCGAGTATCCATTGCCGGTCGGTCACTCCTCTGTAATCAATTCAGTGTGTAAATAACGCATTAACAGTTGGTATGGAAAACGTCAGTAAGCATTCGACTAAATGATAAATTATACTTGCTGACAAAGTCATTGTATCGATCAAAGAACTCACGAAATGATGACTTTAAACGAGGCTGCTGATATCCTTGTTAGTGAAAAATTTACATTGTTTAAGAAATTGTACATTCGTAAAGCATGCTCTTGTTCATCGAATCCAGTAAAAGATATAAACTCCGCATGCGGGTGATGAAGGTATATTGCTAATGAAAACATTGCTGTGACGTCATGCCTTTGTTCTTGCAGTCTAAAAATTTACCTGTAGTCGTCCGATAATAATTACCAGTCCGATAATATATTAGTGCGGTAGTGATAACACAATCGGACGGTATTTAAAAACAAGAAAACGAGTGAAATAGAGGTTAAATATGTCCAGAAACAAAAAATATGTTAGGAAAATTTCAGAGAAAGCAAACGCAAGAAAACTAAGTTGCTACAAAATAGCAAATCCATGAGAGAAAAAATCGAGTTTAATCCTTCTTCAAAATTAATACTTTCCACTTTTTAAAGTGTTTTTGATACAACACTTTGAATAAGCGAATTTAAATCCATTTTTTTAGGAAAATTTTGATAACTTTAGCTTTACTTCCCCGTGGCCGCACTTTTAAAACCCGAGAATTTCCATTATATAAACTAAAACTTCAGGATAAAAATCCGCATATATTTTCACTTTCCATGGTGATAGTAATAATATTACCCAAAATTATGTCTGTGTCAATGTCAATTTATGCACATAATAAATAAAAATGTTCCAAAATAATAAAAAAAAAAATCCTTCACCACCGGACACCTGTCCCGCTTAGCTAAACGACTGTCATTGAATGAATGAAATGAAAGAGTTCACTCACTGTTTCTATTGCCTCATTCCTTTTACCTACTTATTAGACGGGAAGGAAACAATGGATGCCTGAACTCCTATTGTGTTATTATCGGACTCCTCCAGGTAACTTCTGGACAGTTTTAAGAAAGATATATGCCGAATACTGTTCTATATGTAAAATTATCAGACAGTTTTCGGCCCTAACGGGCCGCAAACAGTCTGATAATTTTTCATATAGAACAGCATTCGGCATATATCCATTACATAAGTTAGGAAGTTGACGATTGAAAAGTTAAAGTCATTGGGTTTATCAGGGTTGTTGAATTTTCATTAACGTCTTTTTCGAGTAAAATATCCCAATATGAAACAGATGTGTCAGACTCTGTGGTATCTTTTATATCAAACTCACCAGGATATATCTAATCGACACAAGAATGGAAACAACCGTTGTTAATTAACAATATTTCGTCGATATATCTAGATGTCGAGTTTAGGTGGCAGAGGATAGTTTCGAATAAAGTACCGGTCAAAAAATAGAAAAAATAGAGAAACCTGAGGTGTGAATGCATATAATAGGTAATTTTATAGCTAGAATATTTTATGGGTGCACTTGGAGGGAACTGGTGGCCTTGTATATTTTATTGAAATATGACACTTTAGTGTCACTACTACTGTATATGGGATATGGACTAGAAATACGAAACTAAGGTCAAAACTCGCTCTACCAGTATTTCACCAGAAAAGCAGGGTGGGTTCACAGGATGAATTGTAGCTTGAAAACGAGGTGGTTGAGCCATAATCTCTTGCTGTTCATTGGTATGTACAAATGTTATTCTGCAATTTGTGTGGTAGCTTAGGTCAGGCGCACGGGCCTGGAAGCAGATGCGGCTGCGGCGAAATAGTGAAAATAGGCTTGATTCACATGAAATTTTGAGATTGTCCCTGCGCCATCTTTAGGGCTCATTGTGTAAGTTGTACATGTTGTACGTAAGTTGTACGTTTTGATTGCAAAAAAAAACTATCTTCTGCCACCTTCAAGAATGCATCAATTTTTAGAAATGTGAATTTTAGTCTGATTTTTATACAAAAGGGTTTATTTATGTAAGTCAATTTAAAAAAATACTTTGTTTCTGTTATTTAAAATCTGTACAGTTAGGTATATTCACTAAAAAGCAAGGGGGGTTACTCTTTTCCAACATACATTTTTAAAGACTTTGAACCATCAGCATAATAAATCATATAAGATTCAGACATTTTTTGCCAGAGAATAAATTAATTGTTTGAATTTGATACTTTGGGTATTGTTGCATAATTAAAATCATGTCTTGCTTTAATTAATTAAATCTAATTAAAATTTAAGTGTATTAATTAGTGCGATATCACTGAAATTACATATATTTGCCATTTTTTCAACCTAATTTACTAAATATAATTATTTTGAAAATAAAAATCAGTCAGCATACCTAAATGTCACTAAACCTAACCATATATAGTACCAGAAAAAACTTTTTTTGCTTTATTTTTCTAAATTTAACATATTCTGTTATTGATATTTTCATGAAATATGCCCCCCCCCCCTTTTCAATTTTTAAATTTATCTTTATTTAAATGTGACAGAATCTAAATTTTTCAATGGTTTGCTATAAAATGACTATTTTTCTTTGAATAATAGCAAAAAAAAAGAGTTTATATTGCATATTTAATGAAGTAATATCAATAAAATGTGCATTCTCATGTAATTATTGAATTCTGCTAGGCCCATATAATCTGCCCACAATTGCCCAGGATGGACAGAATAATCTCTTTTAGTATTCAGGAGAATGAAATGTATGTATTTGATTACTCATAACTGTTAAAAGTGAATACCAGACACTTAGAAAGAATTCAGCTAGGACAAACAAATTTTTACAGTGCATTTTCATTACACTGAAGAAATGGCTGCAGGGGTAGGGTGTTGAACAGCCATTTCCTGGACACTTTTTCTTAAGCATATGATGCAAGAGGATTTTTTGCATATCATGATAAATATCTTGAAAGTTGAAAGGGGTTTTAACTTTGCAAAGAAGTTATAGGTATATAAAACCAAGTGAAAAAGAGATAAGATGGAATTTCATAGAACATGAAAAATAGGGGAGTATGTGATACATGTGAGTACATTTCACCAAGATGTGCCCTTTATATTTGAATTTTTACATATAAATGTATTTGAAATAGATTAAAATTACCATTTAACACTTTTTGCTGGTATATTTATCATCTGGAGTTGTAAGAATTGCATTTGTTTTATGTGTAAGAAACAATATGGGGTTAAGGTGGTTGACCTAGAATTGGTGAGGTCTCTTATTTGGCCATAACTTTTTTATTTTTCAATGAATCAAGACATATTTGGTATATTTTTACTCAGAATTGCATGTTCTTTTTGAATTAAGCAAGGTTTATTACTTGCAAGACAAACTTTGAAAGTTAAAGGTGGCAGAGGATAGTTTCGAATAAAGTACCGGTCAAAAAATAGAAAAAATAGAGAAACCTGAGGTGTGAATGCATATTATAGGTAATTTTATAGCTAGAATATTTTATGGGTGCATTTGGAGGGAACTGGTGGCCTTGTATATTTTATTGAAATATGACACTTTAGTGTCACTACTACTGTATATGGGATATGGACTAGAAATACAAAACTAAGCTCAAAACTCGCTCTACCGGTATTTCACCAGAAAAGCGGGGTGGGTTCACAGGATGAATTGTAGCTTGAAAACGAGGTGGTTGAGCCATTATCTCTTGCTGTTCATTGGTATGTACAAATGTTATTCTGCAATTTGTGTGGTAGCTTAGGTCAGGCGCACGGGCCTGGAAGCAGATGCGGCTGCGGCGAAATAGTGAAAATAGGCTTGATTCACATGAAATTTTGAGATTGTCCCTGCGCCATCTTTAGGGCTCATTGTGTAAGTTGTACATGTTTTATTCCTAAAAGCTTCAATTTTCTCAAGGGACTACATCATACTGTTATTACATGTAGAGGGAATTTAAAATTTTTCAATGCACATTTTTAAAGCAGCTCAATATTAAGTAAACCGTGAGTCAAACGTTTTGATTGCAAAAAAAACTATCTTCTGCCACCTAAAGGCCACAGCCAATGTTTTTTTCAAGTAAAATTACCTATTTCCTTTTTAAAAGAATGCATTGTTAAGAAAATTATGATACAAATCATAAATGTACTTTGATAATTTTTCCATATTTTAGGGGTGTTTTTATGATAGCGTAATTAAATCCATGAACTTCATGTATTTAATAATTAATAATATGAATGTACTCAACTTAAGTGAGGTTATTACAGACCTGATCTTGGAAAGGTTGCCAGAATAATTGCATCTTCTCCTAGTTTCATGTCCCTGATGTATTTCAGTGCATGTTCCGCGTCTTTTAAGAATGACACAAGCTTGGGCAGGTACATTTCTCCATAACTGGGCCATTCAAGTTCTGTTACATGTGTGTCATCCATAGCAGTTAGTCGTTAAGCTGCAGTATCCCCTCTGTGAATGAGTTTACGTGACACAGTATACTATATCTCGGTCGTTGCGTCAATAACTCTTTTTTTTTTACAAGTTGTAAGAATTGCCTGACAGATATATGCAGTGCTTTGACCTTAGCTTAGTAAACAAGTCCGTCTTGAGGCTTCTATGTTTTTATGTTTGACGAAAGTCCGCACTAGTGATTATCATGTATACATTTTGGTATAGGTATCAGTAAACTTTAGTTTTTAGGAGCATTCAATCATGTTATAAGTTAAACATCCATACTCTTTATCCCATATTCCGTTTAAATTATGGTGAATTATGTGAAAGGAGGATCTTTGACCGTTATATAGTCAGCGCACAACTGTTTGCTGAGTCCATGTGACACCATAAGGAACTAAATAGATTACGCTAGGCGTGTGAGCATTAGTCCATCTCCTTAATAAAAAAATTGCCATCCATAATAGAACTCAGCCCTCTGACACACACACCCAATCTTTCAAAAGGTCACGGAGTCCCCAAAAATTAAGTTTTTATCAAAAACCTTAAGGCAAATATGATCTTAACTAGAGCACGAACATACGACAAATTGGAAGTCCTCTACCTGTGGGTAACAATTAGAACTAAAATCTTGACTCTCAACGAAATCATAAACAAATGTGTCTTCCGAAACCAACAGTTCGTTTTCAAAACATAATAGGGAGTCAGACAGTGGGGACCACAGGAGGACACAACGTTTCTTTTATGTTTTGAATATATAATTTGTGTATCAATGTTAATTGTGTTCCTTAAGGATGTACAACACACCCATCCCCAAAAAATTTCTTTCGTTAAATTTTCGCTATTTTTGTTTTTTTTAAATACATATATCTACTGTGTGTATGCACATTTTTGACAAAATCGTAAGGGAATCGTATCGTAATCAAATTGGAATATTGCTTTTGCTTTAAAAATATATTTAATTACATTTTTTAAAGTTCTCAAATGTAAAGTATATTTAAATTGATTTTTTTTGCAATTTTTAATATCCCCTCCAAACACCCCACTTCCTTTTCTTTCTTTCTTTTTTTGCGTCGCAGACGCAACGTTTGACGAAACGTCTGTTACAGTACAGACACAATTCATAAAATCCCTGAGGTACACACTAGTTTGTTAATTCATGAATGCAGAATAAACATCGGCTACTGGATTTTATGTTTGAAGAAAAATTTACTCGAGGATCTTATGTCCATTCAAGTGATTAGTCCATATATATATATATATATATATATATATATATATATATATATATATATATATATATATATATATATATATATGTGTGTGTTATGCATTCAATATCACAGGATACCGGGATATGAATTCAACTTATGTTGAAAACATGTAGAATTTTAATCTTATTTTTCCAAAAAAAAAAAAAAAAAAAAAACCCACAATGGTGTATGTTCAACTTTTCTATGAGTGGAATAATTATATTTTCTTACATGTCATTATTTCAAACAAGGCACTGTGCCGTGGGGATACATATGCATCATGTGAACACCTCTAAGGATATTGTATGCAATCTTTCAATTTCGTTGTTTCTAAAGAAAAAAAAATGAAAATTCCGTATTCGTCCACATTAATTTCAATATATTGTAACGAGACCGAGGGTATCGTGTAATAAACTCGTGGGCCGCTATTAGTTTTCTGGTCACTTGGTCGAGATTTGATGGTTCTGTTGGTCACAGTTTATATAATGGTTAATAACCAATTTTTGGTCACTTAATTGGTTAATGGAATGACCAACTTTTGGTCACTTATTTGGTTGACGTAATGACCAACTTTTGGTCACTTCTTTGGTTGACGTAATGTCCAACTTTTGGTTACTTCTTTGGTTGACGTAATGACCAATTTTTGGTCACTTTAAATAATGTTTGTTAGGTATAACACTTGTTAAAAGTTTATAACATTTATTAAGACGATCAAATGGTTCACTTATAAACACACAAAATGGTACACAGTAACTTGGTTGGTACAACGTTATTTGGTTAACAAAAAGGTGACCAACCGATGGTCAATCCAGGACGTTCCTAAAAACTTGGTTCCCTTTATTGTTTCGTATACATAGACTTGGTACCGTCTTATAACCGAAGTATACGGAGTCGTTCCCCAAACCAGGGAAGGCTGTGTGCTACGAGTCGCTCCCCACAGCCGACTGAAGTCTAAACCCAAAACAGCTGGTTTATATAGACAAAAGTTGTTATGATGACGTAAGAAACAATCAGATACCCATTACGTCACAATCAATACAATCAATAAGTTAGCGGGTTTTGACCAACAAAATTATACATACTAAATTAATAACGTTGTACCCATATAAAACATACAAAATACATCACTTTCTCATTAAATTATACATGTTAAATTAATAAAGTCATTAAATCAATTATTGTTCATTTCTTTCGTTAACTGTTCATTGACAATTATTTACGGAGTTTATAAACATCGGGTTCAAATTCCATATATTCCAAACTTGTAAACAAGAATTAACCCGAATTTCACAGCTAGGTACACTTCGTGAAACGTAACATTATCAAACATTAAACTCTTTTATCTATTAATTAATATTTATGCGTACATTGATAGGTTTTGTTTTGATTCGAGAAAATGCGAACCGACATTGTTGGCAGTGACAGAAAGTCAAACGATTTGTTGCAATGAGATATTCATAAATTCAGATAATTTCAGTACTACCACTAGTATTTACAATTCTTTTCCAATTTCTATACTTACATTGTGTGTATTAGGTCTACGGTATTCAATGCATTCTCTGATTTATCAGGTCTCTGATTCTGTGTATGCGGAAAACCGTGAATAATGGGAGGAAAACAAACATATGTCCTACATTTTGAGGGTTGTTCCTCTTTGGTCAGTAAGGGTCTGAGAACGCCATCGATGATTACGTTGTGAAAAGTTTATTCTTGGTTTATTGTTGTTGTTTTTTTTTTCATTAAAGAAGAACAAAACAGTATGTTAGGTCTATCAGAGTATTTACTCAGAAAATAAATAATAAGACCTAAATATTGTATTTTTGTACGTAAACTTCCCGGTAATCAAAAAAATAATCCCTTCTTCAAGAGTAGAGGAAAAGTGGCCTTAAATTGTATATTCAGATTTATCGATGATGATTTTTTTTTCACTTAACAATAGTTATTTTTATTCGTATGTTGACTCGATGTATCCCTGTGAACTTGAGATAAATGACATTACAGAGTCTGCCACATCTGATTTATATGTAGAGTTATTCGTAAGGATGTTTATGAAGTTTCGGAATCCAGTATAGATAAGGTTGTTCAAATTCATGTTGGTTGTTTGGAATATTAAAAATATTCAAAAGTGCTTATGATTTTGAAGAATATCTTCCTTAGAAAGAGAACTATGAGTGTTTAATTGGATAACCACTTGTAGATTTAAATCCAACTTCTCCTAAAACACAATTAATATAACGAGCCTTACAAACGAAGACAATGTTGTTACCTGCTTTGTCAGCAGGGACCAGTACGTACTGATCATGTAATCTATCTAATTCTTTTTTTCACCTCTGGATTATTGAATACAGAAGGATAACGAAGAGTATTCAAACTTTAAAGTCGACTGAAACAATAAAAATCAAAATGGCGTTTACGATTTGATAATAGATCTTCTATTCCAAAAATGGGAAAATCTGAACTGCAAATGTTCTAATGTTGTCTACTGAATAGAATGTACTCTGTGTGGACTTGTTTATGTTGGTGAAACCAAGGGATAATTAATAAAAGAATATCAGGTCATCGATTTCAATTAAATCATGTAGGTCAGCAGTTTTTATACAAACATTTTAATTTACCTGATCATTTTATTTTGTCAATGAAAGTTAGAATTTTCGAAAAGATTTATTACCACACAAATAGCCCTTCAATGAGTTCACCTTTCCGAGGACAACGAGAAGAATTTTAGATTTGAAAACTAGGGACAGCCTTTCCCTGTGGATGAAATGACAATGTCCATACGGCATAGTGTTGGAAATTTTTTCAGTCCGAAAGAAATATTTCAAGTACATTTCTGAGGTATGAGGACAGAAGGTACTGACCTAACTTTTGGAGAGAAAGTCATGTGATGATCCAGTTTAAAGATAAAAAAGTTAACAATACGTGTACAAAGCTAAGACACTTCAACACTCCCCGTGTCAAACTATACGATATTTTTGTTGTTACAATAATGTAGTTTTCCAAAGAAAATATTTCGGTTATTTTACATCTTATAATAGACCTTGATTTATTATAGTGTTTTCTCAGTCAAATGACTTATTCATGTTTTCATAATGTATTGTAAAAACAGCTTTATTTTTTTACTATTTCTTGGTTTTATTTAAAAATAGAGGTACCGTGAGCAATGAGCTCACTACATTATACCCCCGCCTCCAATATGAATATAATGGCAGTGTTTATGTTTTGCTGTGGGAAACCCAAAAAATGTGTCGAATCAAAAAGTAAAATAGGAGGTGCATAATGGCAATATATATGTAGTAAAGTTTTTTCTGAAAGTTTCATCATATTTCATTCATGATATGGGAGGAGTTGCGGATAAGAGATGGGTACCCCAAATCGTAACAGACAGACGGACGGACGGACACACCGATTACTATATACATTGGAGCCTCATTTTTCCGGTCGCTTTGGTTTCTAGTCAATTTTTCCGGATATGTGAAGCGTCCGAATACCTGAATTGCGAGTTTAACAAGACAAAAATAATGCTAAAAATTTCCATTTCGATAAAAAATCGTTTGGATACTGAAGCATCCGGATATCTGAAGGTCCACTGTACCCTCCCGCTTTTCAAGCGAGGGTATAAAAAAAAGATTGTAAATTATGAAATGTCGCCATTATTTTATTTTATTTTCATATTAGTATTAGAAAAAATGTTCGAACATCAAGTGAATCAAAAATATACTAAAAGACAAAGAAGTAAGTTCCGTGCATAATGTTCATTTTGAATGTGTGATCATCCATTACTCAGTATTATT